AGCGCCGGGCTAGTCAGAACTGTCAAAAGTATGTGGAAAAAGTAAAAACTGAGAAACCGTTTTTTTTGGCCCCAGCTAAAGGGTCAGATTTTCGGATTTTCCGGGGCAAGTGGATTTCCGCCAAAATCAAATTTTTTAGCCGGGTGAACGTCGATTCCAACTATTTAAGCGACGGGCTATTCAGAACTATCAAAAGTATATGGAAAAAGTGAAAAATGAAAAAAATTTTTTTTCACCGGAGGCCAAAGTGTCGGATCTTGGATTTTTCCGGGGGGAAAGTCGGTCCAAGGGTCACAAGGGTCAAAGTGTCAGATCTTGGATTTTTCGCCAAAATCGAATTTTTTAGCCGGGTGAACGTTGATTCCAACTATTTAAGCGCCGGGCTAGTCAGAACTGTCAAAAGTATGTGGAAAAAGTGAAAACTGAGAAACCGTTTTTTTTGGCCCCAGCCAAAGGGTCAGATTTTCGGGTTTTCCGGGGCAAGTGGATTTTCGCCAAAATCGAATTTTTTAGCCGGGTGAACGTTGATTCCAACTATTTAAGCGACGGGCTATTCAGAACTATCAAAAGTATGTGGAAAAAGTGAAAAATGAAAAAAAAAATTTTTCACCGGAGGCCAAAGTGTCGGATCTTGGATTTTTCCGGGGGGAAAGTCGGTCCAAGGGTCACAAGGGTCAAAGTGTCAGATCTTGGATTTTTCGCCAAAATCGAATTTTTTAGCCGGGTGAACGTTGATTCCAACTATTTAAGCGCCGGGCTAGTCAGAACTGTCAAAAGTATGTGGAAAAAGTGAAAACTGAGAAACCGTTTTTTTTGGCCCCAGCCAAAGGGTCAGATTTTCGGGTTTTCCGGGGCAAGTGGATTTTCGCCAAAATCGAATTTTTTAGCCGGGTGAACGTTGATTCCAACTATTTAAGCGACGGGCTATTCAGAACTATCAAAAGTATGTGGAAAAAGTGAAAAATGAAAAAAAAAATTTTTCACCGGAGGCCAAAGTGTCGGATCTTGGATTTTTCCGGGGGGAAAGTCGGTCCAAGGGTCACAAGGGTCAAACTGTCAGATGTTGGATTTTCGCCAAAATCGAATTTTTTTTTTCGAATTTTTTTTTGTGAAGAATCGGTTTCTCAGTTTTCACCCGGGTAAAAAATTTGATTTTGGCGAAAAATCCAACATCTGACACTTTGACACTTGTGACCCTTG